GATCGGAGGGTGTGCTCCAATTACAGAGGGATCACAGTCCTCAGCCTCCCGGTAAGGTCTACTACAGGTTGATGGAGAGGAGGATCCGGCCGATAGTTGAACCTCAGATCCTTTTTTTTTCATCATATTTTCTAACACCAAAAGCTTTTTCCTGATGGTCTGTTAAAATTTTACATTTGCATCTTAATAATGTTGTTTTAATACAGATAACTGTTGCTACATCGGCAAACTTGAGAAGATTGTAATTCAAATCAATTTATTTCTATAGCTCCAATTCACACCATGTCATCTCAGGACACTTTATAGAGAGAATTCAACCAGATCATCCATTCAGATTGGTTCAAAGTTTTCTATCTAAGGAAAACCAGCTGATTCCATCAACTGATTGACTCTTCAGCAATCCCTCACACTAAGCATGCTTGTAGCGACAGTGGAGAGGAAAAACTCCCTTTAAACAGGAAGAAACCTCCAGCAGAACCAGGCTCAGCGGCCATCTGCTGAGGCCGACTGGGGTTCAAGGAGACAGAAGCAGACATAGAAAAAGAAGCATAGATACAAAAGGCAACTGTCAACCAGCTCCACAGGCGGCCCCGTCCAGGAAACACACAGCCAGGCAGACAAGCTCCGAGCCAGCTCCCATGTCAGAGGATGAAGAGAGCACATCCAGTTAGTCACAGTCAGAGAAACATGACTACACTGGAAAACAGGCCAAGCTCCGACATCTAGAAACAAAGGTGTTGATGGCAGAAGCACAGCTGATATTTCTCTCCAGGATGGAGTCACAGCCAAACAGGAACAGACCAGATTGTTGGGATCCAGAGGTTTGCCCTCCAGAGGGCGATGTGGATCCCTTTCTGTGGGCCACCACCCTGGTGGGTGGCGTGGCGTCGACATCATGAGGAGTGGATTCGCGAAATGCAGGAATGTAAGAGCCGTCTAAAGACCCCTGAGCCCTCTCTGAGCTGTCTGGAGACCCCTGTGCCCGCTCTGAGCCGTCTAGAGTCAGCTAGGAGCCGTCTAGAGTCCTCTCTGTACCGTCCATGGACCTTTAAGCCCTCTTCGTTCCTGTACGTGGAGCCGCAACCGGCGGTCTCCTCTGTTCCTGATGTGGAGCCGCAGTCGGTGGTCTCCTCTGTTCCTGATTTGGAGCATCAGTCGGTGGTCTCCCCTGTTCCTGATGCGGAGCCACAGTCGGTGGCCTCCGCTGTTCCTGATGCTGAGCCGCAATCTGCGGTCTCCTGTGTTACTGTGGAGCCATAGTCGGTGGTCTCTGCTGTTCCTGATGCGGAGCCGCAATCTGCGGTCTTCTGTGTTCCTGATTTGGAACCGCAATCGGCAGCCTCCTCAGTTCCTGACTCGGAGCCGCAGTCGGCGGTTTCCTGTGTTCCTGATTCGGAGCCGCAGTCGGCGGTTTCCTGTGTTCCTGATTCGGAGCCGCAGTCGGCGGTTTCCTGTGTTCCTGATTCGGAGCCGCAGTCGGCAGTTTCCTGTGTTCCTGATTCGGAGCCGCAGTCGGCGGTTTTCTGTGTTCCTGATTCAGAGCCTGTTGCAGCACAGCAGAAGAGGAGGCGGCGTCCTCCTCCAAGGTCCCTGCAGCTTCTGAGACTCCGGCCTCCAGAGCGTCTGCCTCAGCTCTGGTCCCACGGCCACCACCTGAGACTCTGCCTTGTCTCCGGCCCCACGGCCGGCTTCCTGAGACTTTCCCTGTCCTCGCCCACCCTGGGTGGGTTGTTTTGAGTTTCGGAGCCTGTTCTGTTTTTGTGCCTGGCCCTCCTTGCCTGGTTCCCCCTCCACCCACCCTGGGTGGGTTGCTATTCTTTTTGGGTTTTTTTATTTTTGGGCATCTGGTATCCGCCCTTGAGGGGTGGGTACTGTTGGGATCCAGAGGTTTGCCCTCCTGAGGGTGACGTGGATCCCTTTCTATGGGCTTCTGTTGTCTGTTGGGATCCAAAGGTCTGCCCTCCAGAGGGCGATGTGGATCCCTTTCTGAGGGGTTCTGCTGTCGGTTGGGATCCAGAGGCTTGCCCACCAGAGGGCGCCATAGATGCTTTGCTGAGAGCTTGTGCTCGTCCGTAACAGCTGATCCCCATCTGCTCATTAAGCTCTCCCTTCATAAGCTGGAGGAGAGCTCCACTCTGAGCCGGATTGTTAAACTTGTTATGGTTGCAAGCCTGAGCCAGCCTGCATGTCTGACCCTGTAAACCTGGACCTTGACCTGAACCTAACCTGCTTTGTCCTCTCTGCCTCCCAGGTAGAACCCAGTCTGTTACAATAAACATTTGGACTTTTATCCTGCCTCTGTGTCTGTGAGTTCTGCATTTGGGCTAGAAATCCTGCCTGATCATGACACAGATGAAGCTACTATGAGAAAAAGCAGAGAGCAGAACGTTAGAGATTGAACTAACAGATTCTGCAGAGTGGGAGAATAGAGATAGAATGAAGCAGAATGATGAAAAAGGGGTCCCTATGTCCTTCAGCAGTCTAAGCCTATAGCATCATAACTATAGAGATAGCTCAGGATAACCTGAGCCACTCTAACTAGAAGCTTTATCAAAAATGAAACTTTTAAGCCTGGCCTTAAAAGTAGACAGGGTGTCTGCCTCACGGACTAAAACTGGTAGTTGGTTCCACAGGAGAGGAGCCTGAGAACTAAAAGATCTGCCTCCCATTCTACTTTAGAAATTCTAGGAACCACTAGTAAACCTGCAGATTGAGAGCAAAGTGCTCTGTTAGGAACATAAGGAACAATCAGATATCTGATATCAGATGGAGCTTGGCCATTTAAGGCTTTATATGTGAGAAGGAGAAAAGAAGCCAGGATAGGAGAGATATGATCTCTCTTTTTCATTTTCATCAGAACTCTGGCTGCAGCATTTTGGATCAGCTGAAGGCTTTTAACTACAGTTTGTGGACTTCCTGATAGTAAAGAATTACAATAGTCCAGCCTTGAAGTAACAAATGCATGGACTAGTTTCTCAGCATCACCCCTGGACGGGAGATTTCTAATTTTTGCAATATTCCTCAGATGAAAGAAGGAAATTCTATAAACCTCTTTGATATGGGATTTAAATGACAGGTCCTGATCAAAAATAAAACCAAGATATTTTACTTTTTTATCTGAAATCAGTTTAATACCCTCAAAATTAAGTGACTGACTAATCAGCCTCTTTTTCAAAGACTCTGGTCCAAAGACTATAACTTCTGTTTTGTCTGCATTCAGAAGCAGAAAGTTAAGAGTCATCCAGGTTTTTATGTCTTCAGACATGCCTGTAATCTATGTAATGGGTTAGCTTCATCTGGATTATAGACAGATATAGCTGGGTATCATCAGCATAACAGTGGAAATTAATCCCATGCCCTCTAATAACTCTACCGATTGGGAGCATGTATAAAGTAAAGAGAATTGGTCCTAGCACTGATCCCTGTGGTACTCCACAGGTAACCTTTGAGCATGTGGAAGATTCTTTATTAACGTGAACAAACTGAAATCGATCAGATAGATAACTCATTTCAGTTATAATGGAATGTCATTTTTGACAAATTTCTATGCAGTTTTAGGCAGATGCTTTAAAAAAGATGGCATTAAATCAGGTTTATAAAAGTCACAGTGATGGTTTTGGTCCTTAAAACTCTTAAAATGGCCTGGCTTATGGTGTGTGTGTGTGTGTCTGTGTGCAGGTTTTTGTTTTTTTGTTTTTTTTGGGGGGGGGAGGTGTTTATTGTTTTTTTTCTTTCAATTTTGTCTCCCAAAAGAATTTTATCAGTGTGTATGAAAGACAATAAGGTCCACTGGAAAAAAAATTAAAAAGGAAAAAATATATTAAAATGTAAAAGTTACAGGTTTATTATTAATTTGAGTATAATGTAGGAAAAAGTCAGACTTTTTCCCCCACATTAAGCTAAAAAACAAAACAAAACAAAACTGTTAACCTTTTTAAAAAAATTTCTCCAGGTGCTTAGTGTGGATCGTTGTTTTAAAACAAAAAAATAAGCAGATAAAGTGATTTACCTTTTAATATTCCATTGAGTTGGAGCTCTGTCTCTTGAGCCTAGGCAGAAGTTCAGCTGAATTAACTAATTGTTCTCCTACATCCACCTGTAACAGCCAATCAACTTTTAACCTTGCCTCCACCAAAGTCAACCAGCATCCAAGTTCATCTTTAAAGGCCTCTGGTCTGCTCCTGTGCGCAGGCTGTGAAGGCACTGTGTGACCTCAGATGACCCCGTTTCAACCCCCCTTCAGTCCCTCCTCCTCCATAGTAGCTAAAGCTTCATCAGAGCGTCAATCCTCCTTGACTCTTACTGCGTTCCCCGTGTCATTCCAACCGGTCCAACGGAAGACCGCCATGTTGAGCCTGGTTCTTCCCGAGGTTTCTTCCCAATGGGGAGTTTTCCCTCTCCACTGTCGCTTCATGCTTGCTCATCATGGACAGGTTCTTTCAACCTGTGTTATCCAACTGGACTTTCATCTTCCAGGTCCCTGAGTGAAGCTCTAGTATCAGCTCACGCAGTCCACTGCATCTCCCCATAAAGCTAATCAGACCGTCTCTCCAACCAGCAGTCTACAGACTGACCAACTTCATCTATCTCCACTCCACCACCACTTTCAGGCCTGGGGGGGAAACAGCCCTGTTCTTTACTCCTGTTCATGCAGATCTATCTAAATTCAGCGCTAATGTTTCCTGCCGAGGTCTGAGCGCCAAAGAGAAGTAATAGTATCAATAAATTTATCTTAATTGTCTTTTCTCTTCTTGTGAGTTTTTTCAGATTGAAATAAGATCTACTGGTTTACAGATAATGATCAGATTCCTTTAAGTGAAATGATCATTCATTTAGGACAGAGTGGTGCTGTACAGGAGATAAAATAGACTTAATTGTTTTATGTTGTAATTTCTGTCATGATGCAATTATCAATAAATATGTATTAATACACAATGGGAGAAAGTACAAATTTTTACAAACATGAGAGAGGCCTGGTCTTTTATTATAGTTTTTTTAAAGAATTTATTTGTAAATTATGGTGCAAAATAATTACATATACAGCTAAATGCAGGTTATAGTCAGTTCATCAGAGCACCAATACCTATTTATGCCATTTACTAAATCAGAGAGACTAAATACTGTAATTTTTTTTCATCATGTAGCTCTGCAGGTAACTTATCCTTTAGAATCAGTACATATTAGCAATGGGACTTATGGCTACAATCTGAAATTATTTCTGTTGTAGTTGTAATGTAGAGATTAAATAAAATGAAAATGTAAAACAGTAAAGAAAAAGGACCTGAGAAACAAAAAACCCTCTTCTGCATCATAAAATATCACAAAGGCTACACTATCAATAAACAACCCCCAGCTATGAACATTAACTAAGGAATATCAAGCAAGAAGAAACCTAGAAAACCCTAGAAAAATAAAGTTCCCATTGTGTTCCTCATAGATACAAAGCATAGATACAAAAGGCAACTGTCAACCAGCTCCACAGGCGGCCCCGTTCAGGAAACACACAGCCAGGCAGACGAGCTACGAGCCAGCTCCCATGTTACTTTTTTTTTTTAAGTACTTTTATTTTAAAATGCTTTAACTGATTTAACTTTGATTCAGTTTCTAAAGTTCTTGGCCACATTTGAAGTTCATGGAAAAGGAACATGTTCTTCAAGGTGTTTAATCACCCTCTAATAAAAATTCTTTTGATGCAGTACTGGATCCGTCACTGTTTTCATCATCTGCCTCATCAACGACACATTCTCTGTCTGTGGTCATGAAGTCTATTTTGACTGTTTGTTTCTCTCGACTAATCAGGTTGGTTCCTGTAGCTGTTATCTCTGTTGAGCCAAACATTATTTCTAGCCTGACTTTACCCCCTGTAGAGATGTCTACACTGAATGAACCAACCTCATCCACTCCCCAGTCATCTACATAAACTAGATCTTTTCTAAATGAGCAGTAAAATCTCATTGTCATGTTTCTCTGATCTGCTTTAGCTGGAGAACAAAGGAACTCTCTGGTTTCCTCTGATCCAACATCCTCACCTTCTTCCACCATTTTATTGAAAATATCTCTACTGTATTCCACGCCTCCTGCTGTAAATTTTTTTTCCTCCCTGTGTTTCCTCTTATCAAACTTCTCACAAGCAGCAAATCCATAAGTAAAGGAACTTTTACGAGAAACAACAACCTGTGGGTTTCTACCAAACTCTACAGCTCCCCTCACAATCGCTTCCTGGGCTCTGAAAGGACACAGAAATTCACACTGACGTCCAAACTGATCAATAATGTGCTGCTGCAGTATTTTACTCTGAGCAAACCCCCCCACCAACAGAATGTAATTAATGTTGAGAACAGAGTTAAAGATTTCTCTCAGATTATGGGTGATGCCTTTCAGACTTTCTTCAAAGAAAGACCTCAGTCTATCTTGCGATATTTTGATGTAATCACCATCCCAGGAAGCACCGAGGTCTGACTTAATGAAGTTTTCTGTTCCTGACTTTTCTTTAGCCAATGACACAAGTTTAAATGGGCAGCTGATCTGAATATCTGTATCTGCTTCTTTGAGACGAGTGAAATCATACATGATTCTCTGAGCTGAACTGGGAGAGTTTAGTTGAAATTCATCCCAGACTCCATCAGGGAGTATTTCTCTTAAAAAATGTTTAAATTTTCTGTCCACAGTTTGTCCTCCTAGATTGTTTCCAGAGACCTTGTGCAGCTCCTTCAGGGCTCCTCCATTCTGGACTTCATGGACAGTGATGTCAATAGTTCCTCCTAAAAGGACAGATAATGATGGTTTATTTATTTAAACAGCCACATTTATTCACATTCATTTGTTTTAGTTCAGAGCAGACTGCAAATAATAACCATCATTTTTTATAATGTTCTTGTGTGTAAAGATGTTACAAATTCTTTCTAATTGAATCAATAACTCAGAACCACAGACATTACCTCCACAGTCCACAACAATGTACCGAGTCCCTGGAGACTGATCCAGTGACTCTCTACTCTGGTTCTTTAAGATGAATTTGTCTGGTGGAAGCTTCTTACACCAGATAGAAGCAGCTTCTGGCTCCAGAGCAATAATCAGTTTCTCCTCCCCTCCTTTTGTTGCTATACCTGCCTAAAAGAAAAAAAACTCTTATCCTTTTGAACATCTCTGAACGTCATTGATCTCTGTTAAATCTGGTTTTACCTGTTTTGCAGCTTCTCTCATGAACTGTTTAGCTGAAGGATCCCAGATGGCAGGAACAGTCAGGACCCAGGTGAAGTCAGAGGCCTTGAAATTCCTCCCCCTCATGTTGTAACTGATGGTTTTTAGAGCATCATCCTTCAAGAATCTCAGGGACTCTGAGAAAACTTTTAGTGCCTCCATAGATTTACCGCTGGCATCTTCAATCTTCAGATCATTGCTGAGTGTCTGTAAATGTTAATTTAGATCTTAGATACAGCAGTGCAGTGACTATACTCCTGATGTATTTTGAATCATTTTAACCAAAATGTTTAGAAATTAATAGTTCTTTAATCGTGGCTTTGTACATTTCCCTTTAATGTTCTCAAGTTAACATTTTTAAACAAATGATTGATCTCCATAATTTCTCCTTTTTGTTCTCTTCTGGTGTCAAAAAGTTTTATCAAATTTAATCAGAATTTATGTTAAATTACCTCTTAACTAAAAACCAGTAACTCTGATGTGATATGCAGAAATCATTGTATTTGCATACCCTATTTATGTGTTTAAAAATGTTTTTTAAACTTACTTTGCAACAAAAGACCCTCTATTGCAGTGAATAATTATGCAATGTTCAGCAGGTGAATATTAAGCTGAAGTTTAACTTAAATTGAAGCATTTATGAGTGTAAATGTTAAAGCGCATAATTGTCCAATAATGTACTGTACTTACTTTGTTGTAGAGAGTCATCTTGAAGTCTTGAAATAAATAATATTTCTTTGCTTCTTCTCCCCTCATGTCCTTGAATTTCATTTGGGCTTCATAACCAAAACTAAGAAATGTTTTATCTTCATTAAACAAAATGCAGGTTGGAGTCTTTGGGGTGTCGAATCCATACTCTTTACCCCATCTTTTTAAGTAAGGTCCACTTTCTTTCCCTCTGGGACTGATATTAAAGGCATATCCGCTAAATGCTGTCCCAAAGTCTATTGCTATGATAAAGGAGCAACTCATTGCAGAAGGAAACTGCTGTTATTCCAGGGAAGGAGAAATGTCACTGTACCAGGAAGTAGCAGTCAGACAACATTTATTCTTCTCTGTAAACCACGCCTCCCGCCTGTACTTTACTTTGTCATCTTTTCAGACCACAATAAGATCAGCAAACACCCATTTTTTTTCTGTGTAATTCAATGGTTTCAATGTACATGCATTTTTTTATATACAGTTGTGCTTGATAGTTTACAAACCCTCTCATTAAAGGATAAATTCACACCAGTATTAAAATTTGAACAAAGGATTATTTCTTAAAAAAAGATACTGATTTTGAGTTTTATTTGGAAAAATAATTCTAATATATATATATATATATATATATATATATATATATATATATATATATATATATATATATATATATATATATACACTCACCGGCCACTTTATTAGGTACCCCATGCTAGTAACGGGTTGGACCCCCTTTTGCCTTCAGAACTGCCTCAATTCTTCGTGGCATAGATTCAACAAGGTGCTGGAAGCATTCCTCAGGGAGTTTGGTCCATATTGACATGATGGCATCACACAGTTGCCGCAGATTTGTCGGCTGCACATCCATGATGCGAATCTCCCGTTCCACCACATCCCAAAGATGCTCTATTGGATTGAGATCTGGTGACTGTGGAGGCCATTTGAGTACAGTGAACTCATTGTCATGTTCAAGAAACCAGTCTGAGATGATTCCAGCTTTATGACATGGCACATTATCCTGCTGAAAGTAGCCATCAGAAGTTGGGTACATTGTGGTCATAAAGGGATGGACATGGTCAGCAACAATACTCAGGTAGGCTGTGGCATTGCAACGATGCTCAATTGGTACCAAGGGACCCAAAGAGTGCCAAGAAAATATTCCCCACACCATGACACCACCACCACCAGCCTGAACCGTCGATACAAGGCAGGATGGATCAATGCTTTCATGTTGTAGATGCCAAATTCTGACCCTACCATCCGAATGTCGCAGCAGAAATCGAGACTCATCAGACCAGGCAACGTTTTTCCAATCTTCTATTGTCCAATTTCGATGAGCTTGTGCAAATTGTAGCCTCAGTTTCCTGTTCTTAGCTGAAAGGAGTGACACCCGGTGTGGTCTTCTGCTGCTGTAGCTCATCTGCCTTAAAGTTCGACGTACTGTGCATTCAGAGATGCTCTTCTGCCCACCTTGGTTGTAACGGGTGGTTATTTGAGTCACTGTTGCCCTTCTATCAGCTCGAACCAGTCTGGCCATTCTCCTCTGACCTCTGGCATCAACAAGGCATTTCCGCCCACAGAACTGCCGCTCACTGGATGTTTTTTCTTTTTTGGACCATTCTCTGTAAACCCTAGAGATGGTTGTGCATGGAAATCCCAGTAGATCAGCAGTTTCTGAAATACTCAGACCAGCCCTTCTGGCACCAACAATCATGCCACGTTCAAAGTCACTCAAATCACCTTTCTTCCCCATACTGATGCTCGCTTTGAACTGCAGGAGATTGTCTTGACCATGTCTACATGCCTAAATGCCGCCATGTGATTGGCTGCTTAGAAATTAAGTGTTAACGAGCAGTTGGACAGGTGTACAGTATATATATATATATATATATATATATATATATATATATATATATATATATACATACAGCATATATAGACATAGATATATACCTACAATCTATTGTAATCACTTTATACAATGCTCCATATAATATTATAAATTCAAAAATAAACTGATGGAGCCAAAAACAAACAAGAACGTTTGTGTAAATGTTGTTAAAAATAAAAAACTAAAAGTCTTGACCCTATGTTATTAGTTTGAGTACTACAGAAAGACTGTTGTTTCCAGAGCACCAGCATTACTAGAAACTGACCTAACTGGTTTCCTAATTATTAGAATATTTTGAAAAGAACTTGTCGTGGAAACTGTTCTCCCTACGACTTAAAATTGAAGCTAAGTCTTATAAAAATTCAAAGTTCTCAAAAAGCTGTAGAAAAAGTCTTCAAACTATTATCAAAAATTAGGCAGAGGCAACTGAGTCCAGGTCCGGAGAATTTTATTTACAGAACACACATGAGCTGTTCACCAGTGAGCTACTGACTTATATGCAGAAAAGGGCCCCCTTTTATTCACTCCCGGCGCTCGGGGCTCTTTCATCTTGGTGGAAGACCCACCTTCAAACCATATTTTATATTTTTAATTGAAGCCTTTCTTTGATCTATCAAAGCTTTTTCAGTCATAGTGACATTTCTTGTAGATCATGATGACATTTATGGTATTGATTTATGTGCATGTTATATTTTTGTCTGTTTTATTCTTCCATTGTATTTTTTTAGCTTAGTTATTTATTTGCCGCTGTTTATTTCTGTCTGCCCTTTTTACATTTCTCTCTGCCCTTTTTACATTTCTGTTACTATTGCACATATTTATTCCGCGTATTATTGGGGGGCCACATGCCGAAGGCATGGCCCACCTATTACTATTGCACATATTTATTCCGCGTATTATTATTGGGGGGCCACATGCCGAAGGCATGGCCCACCTATTACTATTGCACATATTTATTCCGCGTATTATTGGGGGGCCACATGCCGAAGGCATGGCCCACCTACTACTATTGCACATATTTATTCCGCGTATTATTGGGGGGCCACATGCCGAAGGCATGACCCACCTACTACTATTGCACATATTTATTCTGCGTATTATTATTATTACTGGGGGGCCACATGCCGAAGGCATGGCCCACCTACTACTATTGCACATATTTATTCTGCGTATTATTAGGGGGGCCACATGCCGAAGGCATGGCCCACCTACTACTATTGCACATATTTATTCTGCGTATTATTGGGGGGCCACATGCCGAAGGCATGGCCCACCTACTACTATTGCACATATTTATTGGGGGGCCACATGCCGAAGGCATGGCCCACCTATTACTATTGCACATATTTATTCTGCGTATTATTGGGGGGCCACATGCCGAAGGCATGGCCCACCTACTACTATTGCACATATTTATTGGGGGGCCACATGCCGAAGGCATGGCCC